TGTGTTGCTGTATCATTGTGTAGGCTGCTCTAAATCGAGACATTATATTCCTTGTTTTAAAGTTAGTGAGTGCAGCGCACACCACTGCCTAGCTGTTTCTCACTATTCAGTTGCTTCATTTTTCACACAGTTCTACTGAATAACTTATTTCTTGTTGCTTTCAGGGTACAAAATAGAAGATATTTTTCAGTAACCAGAGGCAGACCTCTCAAAGCTGTCTTGCTTACTTACTCACAGAATCACAACAATACCACCACTACCAGGTGAGGCACCTGCTATCTAAAAGCCATTTTCTTGTATATGCATGGGTTTTGATACTATAGTTGCATTTAAGTCGCTATGGTGGATCCCAGTGTGTCATGCCATACAATGCCTCCCACTGGTCAGGCGATGTCAGTGCAACACAAATCTCTCCAACCAAGATGGCCGACAGAATGCAAGAAATGTTGCGCAGCTCATGAACATCTTGGCAATCCATCTTTAATAGGAGACCCCTAGCAGGTAAATAAAATCTAGTAACATCAAGTAACATCTAAGCAGTGAGTACTGATTTCATGTTGAGAGGAAATTACAATTAATCATCTGTCCACTAAACTGGACATCATGCATTGCTGGTTATATTACACCTTCAATTAATACTGTTACTGCAGCTCTGTTGCTCTTGAAAATACTTCAACTGCAGGGACTTTTTTGGCTGTAAATCAATGGATTTATGTTATTAAAATGCAATTTACAGAAACAGAAACAATATTTTGACAATATTTTTTGCAGAAAATGGTCATTAGAAAAATGATACATTTCAACAGTGATGAGTGATGAGGAAGGAGCTTTTTTTTAGTTTAAAACTGAACCACATGCTGTTCACCTAAGTGGACATGTGAAAAATAAACTTCATAATTGTTTTCATGCCTAAAGAGGAATTAAAAACACTTCAGAAATAAAATGTTGACTGAGGTCGTAATAATACATGCATGAAAAGGGCTTTTACTTTTACATAACTGTGCAGATTTTTTTAAACAGAAACTAAATGGGGAAATATGCCGAAGCTATGGCTGTTGTAGCACACAAAAATCAAAATGACAGGAAGTATCAATCATACTCATATTTTACTGACATCCTAACTCTGTCGTGACACTTTTCCTGAGTATTTACAGCTGTAGAAGCCTTTGTCTGACTTTGAGACTGCAGAGATATTCAGGTCCTCTCTGTTATTATTTTGAATTCGTTTTCCATTTTTGTTGAAAGCAACACTGGACAGTAATTTTTTTTGTCTTGAATTTGCAGCCAGGAGTGACAGAATCTCCCTCAGTCACAGGATGGACAGGGCTCACCAGGATAATATCATCTGTAAAATATAGAATATTATGAATATGACTGGCCTGACAAATCAGTTTGTACATATATATAACTTAGTTGTTTGATTTATGCTAAATAATGAAGGTTAAATTGCATGACAGAAGAAATGTGATGAAAACCTATACTCTGCGGTGATGTGTTGCTGAGCTCGCCTGATCCAGATTCACACCAGTACACTGTGTTGATGTACCAGTGCCTTTGTATGTAGCATGTGGATCCAGTCATTTCTCCTCAGTAAGAGCAGTATCGTAAGTATGACGGGTAGCTGTTCACAGTTAAACTACTCACTCCCCACTTAGTAGAGTTTCAGTAGTGATGGCCAAATTAGGCCTCATGAACCACTGTCTGTATTTTCTGAATCCACCGGATGGCGCTGTCTGTTTAACAAAGGTTTGAAAGCACACTGCATTGCAAGTCCTTCAGCCTTTATCTTTAAACCAAGAGTGCCATCTGGTGGGGTCAGAAAATAAAGAAATTGGTTCATGAGGCTTCATTTGGCCATCACTAGTCATCGGTGAAGTGTTGCACTCTGTTAGGTCTCACTGAGAGAAATGCTTATGAGTGAAAATCTGGAAAACAACATTAATGAGGAGTAAAACAAAGAATACAACACACCCAGGGCTTTCACCCGGGAGAACGGGGTTCTTGACCGTTGTGAAACCAGAAGTTATTTTGTAGGAGCAGTGTCTAAGATTAAGGGGGACTTAGTGGCATCTAGTGGTGGAGATTGCAGATTGCAACCAGCTGAGACTTCTCCCATTAGAATTCCTATTGCTTAGGAGATTTTTACCGGGAGCTAATTATCCACAGAGGTCTCCTCCTCTCCAAAACAAACAGACTAGCTGATTAAAACAGTTTCACATTACAAATCAGTGTCTGTCATAAGCTGTTAAAGCCTAGTGCCTGCTAATGTGTACTCACTTTTTTTCTCCTCTGATAACTTAAGATCCAGGGCCTGGTTATTGAAGGTGAAATCAAGATGAAAATGATCCGGTTTTGGTAACCAATTTCTTTTTCTTCTTCCATGGATCCAGCTCACTTTTGTCCCGGTTGTTGAAATAAAAACTGGATAGGATCACTCTGATCCAGGTACAGACTTTTAGGGATTTCTAAATCCAGATGACCAGTACTTTAACTGGGATGCAGAAGGCGCCAAAATTCACACAAAATAAAAAATAATTATTTTTATTTTTGTGTTGGATATTGACAGATACGTTGGAGACTATTTGATGGTGACAGATTACTTTAAATTGTAATTTAAAGGCTTAAACAGTAGTCTGTTTGAGGACATGAATTTGATCTTACATCATACAGATGAACACAAAGAAAGATGCCCAGTGCTTCACATAATTTATTTACTGAAGCTTCCTTCTTTTTTGCTTTTGATTTTGGTTTGTACAACTGAAACACTAAATAGAATAACATAAGTCAGTACAGAGCTATTGACAGGTGCCTGTCAAATTACAATTACAGTCTTACCTATAAAAGTACTGCACTGTACTGCATGAAATAAACAACTGCACTCCCACAAAAGCCACAAGTAAAAGAGAAAAATCTGACGACTGCTGTTGTTGTTATTTTGGTCGAAGCAGGTTTGACCAAAATAACAAGGTTCAAAACATGAACATTCCTCTTTGGCTTCCTGCAGCAACACACTTTCTGCACTATTCGTCTTTATGCCTTTACTCCACTGGGCATGACTTGTAACTGAGAAAGAAACTAAAAAATGACCAGCAGATGGCAGCAAACATTAAGAACATATGCATGGATTTAAGTTTTTAATGATTTAACTTTTATCTACTGTCATCACATTATAACCTTTTTTTAAAATTAATGTCTTGACTTTACCACACAGCTCACAGTTTATTGTATATTTCATTTCTTTATGATTTTAATGAATAAAAGGTCCTAGCTATATATATTGCATGTATGAAATATATGGCATGCCGTTATATATTGAACAAAACTTGAATATATGGAATGAAAGTCCAAATATATTGAATGAACCTCGAATATATGGAATGATATATTCAGACATTCATTCATGTGTAAAACTCACACCACTACACTGGGTTTGATCATATACTTTGACTTGTTTACACTTGTGCCCAGCCACAGATGGCATGATGATATGAAGACAGCATGGATAACATCAAATGGTCCCTGCGACAAAACTAGGATGGCACTAAGTAGTTATTAGAAATAATTGCTGGACATTTTGCATTGTATAATATCTATCATAGTGGTGTATTCTGTTTGTCAGACAGCAATAATGGATAATCAATAAGTACCCAAAGCTGGCAACCCAGGACAAACCATGCATCTATAAGGCTAACGTTAGCTAACCAGTGGAGATCTGAAGATGGGAAGTGGGCACTATGTTTCTGCATGTTAACATGGCTAGCCAGCTGTCTCTAAGCAAAACCAAAAGAAAAGAAAGGGCAACATTATATCACAAAATATTAAAATTTCACCACCTCTAAATGGATAGCATTTTAAAATGAGGTGCTAAACCTCAATGAGTCAATGAAGCACCAGACTAAAAGGAAAGGCCTCCTGTATTTCACATTGAGTTTTTTTCCCCTTAAAGAGTAACCTGTTAGTTACCAGGTTATGGGTGTCGTGCTATCGTAAGCAAAATTAACCTAAACTGACATCTCTAATTTGTATGTTGGCTTATGTCAAAAACAATACAAGCAGTCCGTAAGATCAAAATGGAACACAATGTAATAATGTTGCTCAAAAGTGTTGGTGGCAAGATTTCATCAGAAAAAACATCTGTGTCAACACCTTAGGTCACATATTGTCATAATTTAGCTCAATTTAGCTCAACCCACTGTGAAGCTTTGGTGACCTTTAGTGGGTGTCAGGACTCCCAGCTTGGAAACCTGTGACCTAGAGAACAGCATAAACTTGTTTTAAATTACCAGAATTTAAAAGAAGCTCATGTTTGATGAGAGAGATCTGAAATGTATCAAAAGCAGTGTGTAGATTTTCCATGGCCTGATTAAGAGAAGAGCCGCTGACACATAAAAGCATGTCATCTGCATAAAAATGTGCACGTTTTTAGATTTCTATCAAAGAAACATACGTCTAACAAAAGCTTGATTTTACTGGATCACTACAATCAGAGAGAAGATAGAAGAATAAATAAACTGCTTATGTACAGGAAATCATGCAAGAACAACTAAAAACACTGCTGATAGCAAACTACTGGAACAAAAGTTTATTGATACAAGAAATGGTCAACCATACTTTTAACAATACAGAAGCTTAAGACCCACATAATCATTTTCTTTAAATGACCTGCCATTAGTTTAACTGTACAGAATAATGTCTGATATTTGCATAGCGGAGCTGCACACAATAATTAAATAAAAATAGCAAATACTGTTTAAACACTGATGTAGTTATTCATGTTGTCATCCACTCTACTGGTTTTGTCGATGCAGATCTCTCTATTGATCTGGATGAAAACCAAAAGGAAAAACAAGGTTAGGGTTATTTAAGAATTAAGAGTGCTCAATGACATTTAACTCCCATTTCTAACCCATTTAACTATCTGTATCTATAAAATAAATCACTATAGTGACTTATCCAAAAGATTGCACATTGTGTTGCTGCTGTCGATGCTGTATTATTACCAAGAGCTTTTCCTGGTTTGACTTCTGAATAAACAGTTTCATCCGCCGCTACAGGACGTGATTTTCCTATGAATGGAGAGATGTTTTGCATTAAACAGTAACGCCCCAGCAAACAATCATAATGATATGTACACTGTCTTCTTTAGCAATGCATCCATATATGATCTAAAATAATCTTAGTGTATACAACAAAACACAAGAGAAGGCATGATACAGGTTACAGTGTTAGGAGGAAGAGGTTGGTGTTTCTAAAAGTGGAGTATGGGTACCTCTAGGGGTACTTTGGAGTACTGCAGGGGGTACATGAGATTTTTAAAATACAAAAAAGTGAATATAGTGAATTTTAGTTTAATACAAAAATGTAAAAGTAATATTGATACACCACATTTTTTTTCACACTGGTCAGGGGGTACTCAGCTGAAAAAATATTTCAAAGGGTGTACATTATTGTAAAACCTGCTGGACAGTAACAGCTGCAGGTGGACATATGTTTTACCTACCTTTGTCTTTCTTGGCTTTACTGTGAGAGTTTACTTGGGCATACATCACATTGTCGTCTAAAACAGAAGCCACATTTCAGGTTTTATTTGTAAAACTTTTACAAACAAATGGATGGATCGATAAGCAGAATTAAACCAATTAAATGTAGCATGTTTGTTTCCCATGACTGTACAGTAGGGCCAGGTATTAAAAGGAATAAATGGAAAATTAAATGACATACAATTTACAAAAAATCTAAAAGCTTTTTATGTACTGTAGGATTTGACCACTGCAGACACACCGAGTGGTATGAAGTGGTATGAAAAGATTACACTGTGACAGTACCCAAAAAAAGTTAGAGTGAATCTATTGTACTTCACTGTACCTGTAGCTGATCTTATCTTCACATCTGAATAAACTGCGCTCTCCTCTGGCTCCTCTGTTTTCTTCCCTGTTTGAAGGATCAGATGAATGCATGAAAAGACAACTTCCTGTACATTATTTAGGTACTGCTGACCTACAAAAGCATCTCTAGTGTTTAATGTAATTGTCACTACATAAAATAAAGTACTCACCCTTTTTAGCGATGTTTTTGAGCTCAACCACAGAATATGTGACATCGTTGGATTCACCTGAAACACAGATATTTGTTTAAACTTAAGGGATTGTCAATAAATCACCTGATCATCTTATTCTAGTATATCTAACTGCTCAGTGTCAAACATAAAGTCTATACTTTACCATGTTCAGGTTCTTCAAAGCCTTTGATTGATTCATAGAGAACAGCATCACCTACAGAGCAGTGAAAATCAAGCCAAGGTCATACTAAAACCTTTAATCACATTATAGAATATTCTACATAATTCCAAAACACAGTGATGGCCAAATGAGTCCTCTTGAACCACTGTCTTTATTTTCTGACGCCACCAGATGGCACTGTCTGTTCAACAAAGGTTTGAAAGCACACTTCATTGCAAGTCCTTCAGCCTTTATACTGTATTTAAACCAAGAGCGCCATCTGGTGGGGTCAGAAAATAAAGAAATTGGTTCATGAGGCTTCATTTGGCCATCACTACCAAAACAGATAATCACATGTGAAATACTAGTCTTAGAGTTGATGATAAATCATAAAATTAATCAGGATTAAGGCTGACCATGGAGAGGAGGAGCATATTCTTTGAGCTGAGTTTCATCCTGGTTGATCATGTGGTCTGTAGCAGGGCCCCGACTGCTGCTCTGAGACCTGGTGGGCCCAAAACATGAAGTAAATACAGTGACTTTAAAAAGAATATGCACTGTGCTACTGTTAGGTTCAGAAAGAGAGGCAAGAGTGTTGAACCAACCTCATAAAGCATGAATCTGTGGAGGTAAAAGACATCTGTTGTTACATTGTTTTGTATGGTGAATTGTTTGACTGTTACTACAGTACATGTAATCACATCAGAGTCAGTCTAACATCAGAAGTAAAAGATCTCACCTTTTGACTTTCTGTAGAGACACAGAAACAGCAGCAGGAGAAGAATCAGTAAAACTCCACAAACCGGCCCAACAATCAACAGCACAGGAAATGGAGAGCTTCCTTCAAGCCTGGGCGCTGCTAAAATAAATACCCTATATTAATATTTACTCATATATCACTTTTCACAAATAGATTTCCCAAAGTGCTTTACATAAACACAGTCAAGGTCCAGTCAAGCCGAAGTAATAAAACTCCAAGAGTAAGAAAACAATACCTGATATCCAAAAATGTATAAGAACATACATCATACTGTTCTCACAAACTGCTTGTACATTTTCCTACGAAAAGTAATGCACCCAAATTCGTTCATATCCCACCATTTTTTGGAAATTCTGCGATAACGTGACTAATGCACTGACAGCAGTTAACAAGGAGGCAGTCCCGAGCATGCTTGTAAGGAGGCAGATTGGAGTGGTGGAGGGGTCACAAAAAACAGACATTTGCCTGTTACTTTCCCCTGGTGTCACATGTTTGGAACCGTGTGAACTTTAAGGCATTTTAGGGTACGTCCATACCATGTTTTCTTCCTAAACCTAACCCCTGTAACTTTATGTTAATTACATAACTGTGCGTTAAGGACGCAAACCCATTTGTGGGGCGCTAATTTGTAGGAATCATATGTTGCACACATATATACTAACATGCACACATAATCTAAGCATGTATACAAAAATACATTTACACATAAATAAATGCACAAGTAGAAAACCACATACACAAAAATACACTTTTACAAACCCCTGGTCAGATACCATGCACATTTAAGCCCCGTTTCCACAGAACAGTACCGTACAGTACACTTCAGTTTAGTTCGTTGCGCTTTTTTATTATTTCCACTGTAAAAAGTTGTGGATGGTACCAATGGAACCGTTCTGTACTGTCCCCATTTTTGGTCCCCCCTCTGTTGGGGTACCTAGCACACAGATCTGGTACTAAAAGGTGGAGCTGTGAACACTGCAGTCTGATGACTGGTCAACAGAGGACTGTCAGGTTGAGGCTCATGTAACCACTGTTCATACCGTGGCAAGTTTTACCTTAGTAAACTATAACTAAAAATAAAGTTTGTTTTGCTGCCTCTCGCAGCAGCTGCAGTCTGAGAAATAAAAAACTTAATTCACTTGGCCGACTGCCGTCAACTTTGAAGGTGGAACTTTAACTTATGTTACCCTGTGCATGAGTTGACATGAATCCATCAACACACCTTAAATTTTGTGTTTGACCATCACTTTAGTTTTTACTGTCTCTCTTGGATGACACTGACTTTTAGTAATGAGTGGATCTTCAAACGTTTAAAAATATGTATCATTTTCAACCGGATTATGTGAACTGCATATATTCTAATCCTCACTTGGAGAAAAAAAAAAAAAGCATAATGGAGCGTTGTTCATGTGGGCTTGGGCAACACTAAACCCCTGAGCTTGCCTGAGAAGGACTAAACGCACAAACCCCAGTTTTTAAATATCCAGTGGAGAGAGACTCTCACTGCAGCCTGTTTTATTCTGTTAACGATAAACAATGTACAGACGTTCCATCTATGAAGAAATACAGTGAGTGCTGGATGGAACAGTGAGTGAGAACAACCCCGCCCACATTTAAGAGTACTGTTCACGATGGAAACACTAAATGGAGCAAGGCTGTAGGTACCATGTCCAAAGAGTTACGATATGATACGATACAATATACTTTATCGTCCCACTCAGGGAAATTTGTCTTGGACTCAGCAACTGCACCATAAATGCCTTGACAGCCACAATGACAACAAACAATACATCAGCAGCCATACCATCCCAACAACAATTACATGACAGTATTGCACATATCCCATAACACTGCAGTTACTTTTGGTTCCAAAGGTACCATACTAAAAGTGTTCGGTGGAAAAGGGGCTTTAGATTAACACACAAACACATACAGTGTCATAGTAAATTCTGAACCTTTCACTGCTATTCATGTATTTACTTTTGTATTTTAAATGTTTAAAACAGACAGTTTAAAAAAAAGCTGAACAAAGCCAGTGTAATTCAGTTATAACTTTTCTATCTTGGACCATAACACAGCTTTAAAAAAATTGCTGAAGAAACTGTTTGAATCATACTCACATTTTACTGACATCCAACTCTCTGGTGACGTCAAACTCTGCTGATCTTGTGATTTTTTTCCTTTACATTTATAAAAGCCTTCATCTGACTTTGACACTGCAGATATAGTCAGCTCCCCTCCAGTAACATTTTGGATGAGTTTGTCATTTTTATAGAAATCCACATTATAAGGAACTTTTTCTGTCCTCAATTTGCAGCCAAGAGTGACAGAATCTCCCTCAGTAACAGGATGGACAGGGCTCACCAGGATAATATCACCGTCTGTAAAAAGATTAAAGAATACAAAGATTTGGTCGCAGAGATCAGCTGGTGCAGCTTAAACAAGCTGATGTAACATTATGACAATGAATTCAATGTTGGAATTAATTTTACAGCTGCATACAGTAACTGAGAAATCCCTGTCTTACTGTAAATGTATCTTTCTGTCATCAATCCAACAATAAGATTATAGTATTTGTTTCAGTGTTGCTCACTGATGTACTGTAATACTGTAATTTCAGTGCAGATCACCCTTAAAGGTCTGGTGTGTAGGATTTAGTGGAATCCAGCGGTGAGGTTATCAGACTGAAACTTCTCCCTTTGACCAAGCCTATAGGAGAACTACTGTGGCTGTATGTAGATATTAACACCTCATTCTAAGGTAACAAAAACACAATGACTCTTTTTCAGATGATAATAAACCAATTAAAACATAGTTATGAATACTATACACCATTTCTGCCAATAGATGCCCCTAAATCCTACACACTGGACCTTTAAACCAGTCCTTTCATCTCAGCTGCTGGTGACTGGGGATGTGACATTTTTTAGATAAAATGTTGACTGTTTTGGAAATTACATTCAGAAAATGCCAATTTACCCAAGGAGCCAACCTTCATCAGACTGGAAAATATGGCACTATGGTGATGTACATGGTTAAAATTACAGCTATAACAACATTTTAATGTATTCAAACATTAACATTCATTATTATTGGTATTTGTTGGCAGCCAATGTGGATTTTGTGGCAGTGTGCTACAGACTGGTAGAGCCTCAAAACTCTGGTACTTCAAGTATAAAATTAATGTTAGATGATTATTGTTATAAAGTTGTTATTGAGCAATAAAATCCATCTGACAATATTTTGGATAATATTAATAAATGATACTAGAATGAACCAAAGCTGATGAGCTCTTTTAAAGGTCATCAAGTTTCACTCATTTTGAAAATCAGTTTGTATAATGTTAGTCACCTTCAGATTTTCAAAACGATGTAACAGAATGTTAAAATACTCCAGAAACAAAATCTTTTAAATGAATTAAGACTCACCCTGTTTAGTCATGTTGACTGCATTGCTGAACTGTCCTGTTTCAGACTCACACCAGTAGACTCCACTCTGCCAGTGACTGTTCATGTTGCATCTGGATCCAGTCATGGTCCCCCAGGAAGAAGAAGAAGAAGAACAGTGTGTCGTGCGGCCAAATTCAGAAAACCTCCTCACTCTCCACTCAGTAGAGTTTCCCTCACAGCTCAGTGACACAGGCTCTCTGCTGAAGTGTTGTGTTCTGTCAGGACTCACTGTGAGAGACGCTGCTGAATGATAATCTAAAGAACACATAAAAAGCAGACAAACAAAGAATGAAAAAAATAAAAAAAGGCCACACTGTCAACAATCATTTGGTTTAACTGTGTTTTAATGTGTTTAAATGCTGGAGTTTAAACACAAAGGATCACACCAATACAGGTATATAATAAAATGTAAGTACCACAGGGAACCATTACATAAAAGCAGCAACACAAAAACAGACAAATAACCCATTACACCTAAAAGCCCTGCATTGAAGGGTTTGGGGGACAGAAAGAAGGAAACAAACAAACATAAATAGAGTGAAGTAAGAAAGTACATCAAAATAAAAATGGAAAAAAGAACAGAGGAAAGGGAAGCTGAAGAAATGGATGGAAGGAAAGAAGAAAAAGACAGTATCTGATGTTTTCATAGAATGTCCTTAACGGTAAGACTAGGTCCTCGTAAAGATTAAAGTTATTCACAAATCATCTTAGAGCTTCAAAGAGCTCCGAAGATGAAAAACTGTTAGGAGTAAAGCGGAGGACTTTTAAGAGACTTAAGAGTTTCTTAATCAGAGGAGAAAATGGTAGAAACACAAAGAGGTAGGAGAAATATTCTCCAAACACTGGATGACAGTGAGTTAATGAAGTGCTACAGATTAGATTGCGCAGGAATTATGTTTGTGGTTGATCTCATTCAGGGTACGCACACATTTTCCATCCAACACATTAATGCTATAACGTCAGACATAAAATGATCACAATAGCAAGATATTTGAAGCACTAGAAAAATGAAGCAGTGCAGCAGTGATGACTTGAGTCTGTCTCAACCTTCCATCAGCAGAGTGATCACACTAATCAATAACAACACTTTCACAGTCAGTGGTTCATTTCATTTCCACTGGGTGTCCACACCTTGCAGGCTCAAACCAATCACATCTGTTAAAAGAATGCATCATACCTAGCAACCATGTCAATTACACCTTCTCACTAAGGTAAAAGTTCCTGTCCCTTCCTCGCTCAAAGTTGCTCTGAGAACTTTCCTAAATCACTGCTAAGCTAGGACTCCTTACTAAAAGTATTTAGGCTGTTAGGAGCTCTCTGAGAGTGTTTTCAGAATGTTGTTTAATACGGCCCTTGATGTTGGTGTGAGGGAATAGTCATAACAAGTGCATGTCTACTATTGT